GCCGATGAAGGTAGCGTAGGTAGCAATAATACGGCCGTGGACTAGTTTGGCTTTAATTGGATAGGAGTGAGTACACAATGGGCAGTGTGAGGGAGTGACCGCAAGCCAGTCCGTGGAGGGGGAGCACTTGTGTCTATCAAGAGGGTCGGCCTAGGAGTGAGAGCGAATGGGCTGAGCCTCCCACTGACCTGGGTGAGCCTACAGAGGGCAGCACCTAAATGCCGCAAAATATGAACTAGTCAGAGCAGACGGCTAGGCTGTGTGTTCTGACAGTACAGGCTGTCTACACTAATGCCGGAAAAAAAATCATCCCCCAGTACCAACAATACCACAGTCTGATGACAGTCTTCTTTGCAAATATACAGGGTCTAAAGCCAGCAACAATCAACAAAATACCTTTCATCCTTGGACTGCTTGCAGAGGCAAAGGCAATGTTGCAGCTTTCACTGAGACCCACATAAAGGATCACTTGGACAACGAAATATGGATCCCAGGTTACAACCTATACAGATGTGAGAGTGAACAGGCAAAAGGGATGGGGGGTTGGCCTGTACATTGCAGAGTCACTTGTTTGCACAGAACTGCTTAATGCCTCAAATGATGTAGTGGAAGTTTTAGCAGTAAAGGTCGAGAACCAAAACCTAGTCATTGTGGTAGTCTACAAGCCTCCGGATGCAACATCCCAGCAATTCCAGGAACAGCTGTTAAAAATTGACCACTGTCTGGAAAATCTTCCAGCTCCTGCACCCAACATCTTGCTCCTGGGGGATTTCAACTTAAGGCACCTAAAATGGAGGAATATAGCAAATAATATTGTTGCAGTAATAACACCAGGAGGCAGCTCTGATGAAAACTCACACTCACACGAGCTTTTAAATCTCTGCACAAAATTCAATTTAAACCAGCAAATAATAGAGTCTACTAGACTGGAGAATACACTAGACCTCATCTTCACTAACAATGATGATCTGATAAGAAATGTCACCATATCAAAAACAATATACTCAGATCACAACATAATTGAGGTTCAGACATGTATGCATGGAGCCCCAGACCAACATAATGAGACTAATCACGAGGGAGCATTCACCAAATTCAACTTCAATAACATAAACATAAAGTGGGACCAAGTAAACCAATTTCTAACTGATATAAGCTGGGAAGATACACTAAGCAACACAGACCTCAACTTATGCCTTGAACAAATTAACTTGGTGGCACTCGATGTATGCACAAGGCTTATTCCTCTAAGAAAAAGGAGGAGTAGATGTAAAATAGAAAGAGACAGGCGCTCCCTTTACAGGCGACGGAAAAGAATAACAGAGCGGCTAAAAGAGGTCAATATATCTGAAATGCGTAGGGAGACACTGGTCAGAGAAATAGCAAGTATCGAACTTAAGCTAAAGGAATCTTATAGGAGTCAGGAATCGCGGGAAGAACTAAAAGCCATAAATGAAATCGAAAGAAACCCAAAGTATTTCTTCTCCAATGCCAAATCAAAGTCGAGAACAACGTCCAGTATTGGGCCCCTACTTAAACAAGATGGGTCCTACACAGATGACAGCAAGGAAATGAGTGAGCTACTCAAGTCCCAATATGACTCGGTTTTTAGCAAGCCGCTAACCAGACTGAGAGTCAAAGATCAAAATGAATTTTTTATGAGAGAGCCACAAAATTTGGTTAACACAAGCCTATCCAATGTTATCCTGACGCCAAATGACTTCGAACAGGCGATAAATGACATGCCCATGCACTCTGCCCCAGGGCCAGACTCATGGAACTCCGTGTTCATCAAGAACTGCAAGAAGCCCCTAGCACGAGCCTTTTCCATCCTATGGAGAGGGAGCATGGACATGGGGGTCGTCCCACAGTTATTAAAAACAACAGACATAGCCCCACTCCACAAAGGGGGCAGTAAAGCAACAGCAAAGAACTACAGACCGATAGCACTAACATCCCATATCATAAAAATCTTTGAAAGGGTCCTAAGATGAAAGTTCACCACCCATCTAGAAACCCATCAGTTACACAACCCAGGGCAACATGGGTTTAGAACAGGTCGCTCCTGTCTGTCTCAACTATTGGATCACTATCACAAGGTCCTAAATGCAGTAGAAGACAAAAAGAATGCAGATGTAATATATACAGACTTTGCAAAAGCCTTCGACAAGTGTGACCATGGCGTAGTAGCGCACAAAATGCGTGCTAAAGGAATAACAGGAAAAGTCGGTCGATGTATCTATAATTTCCTCACTAACAGAACACAGAGAGTAGTCATCAACAGAGTAAAGTCCGAGGCAGCTATGGTGAAAAGCTCTGTTCCACAAAGCACAGTACTCGCTCCCATCTTGTTCCTCATCCTCATATCCGACATGGACAAGGATGTCAGCCACAGCACTGTGTCTTCCTTTGCAGATGACACCCGAATCTGCATGACAGTGTCTTCCATTGCAGACACTGCAAGGCTCCAGGCGGACATCAACCAAATCTTTCAGTGGGCTGCAGAAAACAATATGAAGTTCAACGATGAGAAATTTCAATTACTCAGATATTGTAAACACGATGAAATTAAATCTTCATCAGAGTAAAAAACAAATTCTGGCCACAAAATAGAGCGAAACACCAACGTCAAAGACCTGGGAGTAATCATGTCGGAGGATCTCACCTTCAAGGACCATAACATTGTATCAATCTGCTAGAAAAATGACAGGATGGATAATGAGAACCTTCAAAACTAGGGAGGCCAAGCCCATGATGACACGCTTCAGGTCACTTGTTCTATCTAGGCTGGAATATTGCTGCACACTAACAGCATCTTTCAAGGCAGGTGAAGTTGCTGACCTAGAAAATGTACAGAGAACTTTCACAGCGCGCATAACGGAGATAAAACACCTCAATTACTGGGAGCGCTTGAGGTTCCTAAACCTGTATTCCCTGGAATGCAGGAGGGAGAGATACGTAATTATATACACCTGGAAAATCCTAGAGGGACTAGTACCGAACTTGCACACGAAAATCACTCACTACGAAAGCAAAAGACTTGGCAGACGATGCAACATCCCCCCAATGAAAAGCAGGAGTGTCACTAGCACGTTAAGAGACCATACAATAAGTGTCAGGGGCCCGAGACTGTTCAACTGCCTCCCAGCATACATAAGGGGGATTACCAACAGACCCCTGGCAGTCTTCAAGCTGGCACTGGACAAGCACCTAAAGTCGGTTCCTGACCAGCTGGGCTGTGGTTTGTACGTTGGTTTGCGTGCAGCCAGCAGCAACAGCCTGGTTGATCAGGCTCTGATCCACCAGGAGGCCTGTTCACAGACCGGGCCGCGGGGGCGTTGACCCCCGGAAGTCTCTCCAGGTAAACTCTCCAGAGCACAAAGAGTAGTAGTAAACAGAGTAAAGTCCGAGGCGGCTACGGTGGAAACCTCTGTTCCACAAGGCACAGTACTCGCTCCCATCTTGTTCCTCATCCTCATATCTGACATAGACAGGGATATAAGCCATAGCTCACATGACACCCGAATTTGCATGACAGTGTCCTCCTTTAAAGACACTGCAAAACTCGAGGCGGACATCAACCATATATTTAAATGGGCTGCAGAAAACAACATAATGTTCAATGTAGAAAAATTTCAATTCCTCCGATTTGGAAAACGTGAGGAAATTAAAACAATATCGGAGTATAAAACAAATTCCAATCACACAATAGGGAGAAAGGACCTGGGGTCATAATGTCACAGGATCTCACTTTCGAGGACCACAAGAATTTATCTACTACATCTGCTAGAAAAATGACAGAATGAATAATGAGAACTTTCAAAACTAGGGATCGTTTGTTCTATCTAGGCTGGAATATTGCTGCACACTGACAGCACCTTTCAAGGCAGGTGAAATTGCTGACCTAGAAAATGTACCGAGAACTTTCACGGAACACATAACTGCGATAAAACACCTCAATTACTGGGAACGGTTGAAGTTCCTCAAGCTGTATTCCCTAGAACGCAGGCGGGAGAGATACATGATTATATGCACTTGGAAAATCCTAGAGGAATTAGAATCAAATTTGCACACGAAAATCACTCCCTATAAAAGCAAAAGACTCGACAGGAGATGCAACATCTTCCCAGTGAAAAGCAGGGGTGTCACTAGCACGATGAGAGACAACACAATAAGTGTCAGGGGCCCAAAACTGTTCAACTGCCTCCCAGCATACATAAGGGGGATTACCAATAGACTCCTGGCTGTCTTCAAGAAGGCGCTGGATAGGCACTTGAAGTCAGTACCTGACCAGCCGGGCTGTGGTTCGTACGTCGGTTTACGTGCGGCCAACAGTAACAGCCTGGTTGGTGAGACTGATCCACCATGAGGCCTGGTCTCAGACTGGGCCGCGGGGGCGTTGACCCTTGAAACCCTCTCCATGTAAACTCCAGATAAACCCCAGGTTATCTTGGCTGGATGATACTCCCTACCCCTGGTTATCCTGAGTGGCTGACCTTCATTACCCTGGGTTGTCCTGGCTGGATAACACTCCTTATCCCAAGTTATTTTGGGTGGATAACGCTCCCTACCCCGGATATTCCTGGGTGGCTAATGCTCTCTGCCCCGGATTATCCTGGGTGGCTAACGCTCCTGCTCAGGATTATCCTGGCTGGATAACACTTCCTACCCCAGGCTTAAAATACCACAAAACTTATCTTATCCTTTTGTGATTTGAGGATAAAATTATCTGATAATAACGAAATTAGCATCATTATCTTACATCTGGCAGCGCTGGTGTCATTGTAACACTTAAAAACGTGTATTTTCAAACGCCCGACAAAATATTTTGAGACTGGGTTAATTTCCCCGTCCTTTTTCAGAGTTAAATATGTTGTATTATATATTTACCAAGTATTAAAGTTAGTTGATATGATGATGGTTCAGAGTATACTTGAAATATATCCAAATTTACTACTATACCTATAAATATATTAGAGAATTATTTTTATTTTTTCCAGACTAAGATGGGTGATCTTGAAGCTGCGTCTGAGGAATTCAGAAATGGTCCTGACCAGGTAAAGATTTTTTTTTTATTATTTTTGAGTGCTTGGATAGTTAATGGGGTTTAAATTCTATGTGCTATACGAGGGTCATTAAGACTGGTTGGTTAAGTGGGTTACGATACTATACTACACTAGGGTCATTAAAGGTTGTTGGTCGAATAATGGTGTTTGAAGTCAATTTACTACTCTAGGGTCATTAAAGGTCGTAGATTGGTTAGGTAATGGTTGGTTAATGAGGTTCACAATCTGTTTACTGCAAAATGGTCATTAAGGCTTCATTTCACATGTTCAACACAAGCCAAGAATACTTTTTATGTCTTAAATAAGGTTGAAAGTTATAAGAGAACCAACCCCAAGTTAAGGCAAATAGAAATAAGATAAGAATTTCAAGACTGGAGACGTCGAGGTCTACAATAAAGACAAGTTTTCACTTATCAACTTGTCAGTTTTCCAAAACTTTTAAACAAAATTTGACAGACAAAAACATGATGGGATCCTGACACTGGGAATTCTTCCACACTTGTCCAATCTATAGACACGACCTACTTCCACTAGTGGATTTGCCCACTGGAGACCCCGCTTACCACTGCTCCATGTTGAGGTACAGTCACTGGTTTCATTATGTGCCTCTGTAATGTTGAGGTACAGTCCCTGGTCTCATTATGTGCCTCTGTAATATTGAGGTACAATCCCTGGTCTCATTATGTGCCTCTGTAATGTTGAGGTACAATCCCTGGTCCAGTTATGTGCCTCTGTAATGTTGAGGTACAGTCCTTGGTCCAGTTATGTGCTTCTGTAATGTTGAGGTACAGTCCTTGGTCCAGTTATGTGTCTCAGTAATGTTGAGGTACAATCCTTGGTCCAGTTATGTGTCTCAGTAATGTTGAGGTACAATCCTTGGTCCAGTTATGTGTCTCAGTAATGTTGAGGTACAGTACTTGGTCCAGTTATGTGTCTCAGTAATGTTGAGGTACAATCCTTGGTCCAGTTATGTGTCTCAGTAATGATGAGGTACAGTACTTGGTCCAGTTATGTGTCTCAGTAATGTTGAGGTACAATCCTTGGTCCAGTTATATGTCTCAGTAATGTTGAGGTACAGTACTTGGTCCAGTTATGTGTCTCAGTAATGTTGAGGTACAATCCTTGGTCCAGTTATGTGTCTCAGTAATGTTGAGGTACAATCCTTGGTCCAGTTATGTGCCTCTGTAATGTTGAGGTACAGTCCTTGGTCCAGTTATGTGTCTCAGTAATGTTGAGGTACAGTACTTGGTCCAGTTATGTGCCTCTGTAATGTTGAGGTACAATCCTTGGTCCAGTTATGTGCCTCAGTAATGTTGAGGTACAGTACTTGGTCCAGTTATGTGTCTCAGTAATGTTGAGGTACAGTACTTGGTCCAGTTATGTGTCTCAGTAATGTTGAGGTACAGTACTTGGTCCAGTTATGTGTCTCAGTAATGTTGAGGTACAGTCCTTGGTCCAGTTATGTGTCTCAGTAATGTTGAGGTTCAGTACTTGGTCCAGTTATGTGCCTCTGTAATGTTGAGGTACAGTCCTTGGTCCAGTTATGTGTCTCAGTAATGTTGAGGTACAGTACTTGGTCCAGTTATGTGCCTCTGTAATGTTGAGGTACAATCCTTGGTCCAGTTATGTGTCTCAGAAATGTTGAGGTACAGTCCTTGGTCCAGTTATGTGTCTCAGAAATGTTGAGGTACAGTACTTGGTCCAGTTATGTGTCTCAGTAATATTGAGGTACAATCCTTGGTCCAGTTATGTGTCTCAGTAATGTTGAGGTACAGTACTTGGTCCAGTTATGTGTCTCAGTAATGTTGAGGTACAGTACTTGGTCCAGTTATGTGTCTCAGTAATGTTGAGGTACAATCCTTGGTCCAGTTATGTGTCTCAGTAATGTTGAGGTACAGTACTTGGTCCAGTTATGTGTCTCAGTAATGTTGAGGTACAATCCTTGGTCCAGTTATGTGTCTCAGTAATGTTGAGGTACAGTCCTTGGTCTAGTTATGTGCCTCTGTAATACTGAGGTACAATCCTTAGTCCAGGTATGTGTCTCAGTAATGTTGAGGTACAGTACTTGGTCCAGTTATGTGTCTCAGTAATGTTGAGGTACAGTACTTGGTCCAGTTATGTGTCTCAGTAATGTTGAGGTACAGTACTTGGTCCAGTTATGTGTCTCAGTAATGTTGAGGTACAATCCTTGGTCTAGTTATGTGTCTCAGTAATGTTGAGGTACAGTACTTGGTCCAGTTATGTGTCTCAGTAATGTTGAGGTACAATCCTTGGTCCAGTTATGTGTCTCAGTAATGTTGAGGTACAGTACTTGGTCCAGTTATGTGTCTCAGTAATGTTGAGGTACAATCCTTGGTCCAGTTATGTGTCTCAGTAATGTTGAGGTAAAATCCTTGGTCCAGTTATGTGTCTCAGTATTGTTGAGGTACAGTACTTGGTCCAGTTATGTGTCTCAGTAAAGTTGAGGTACAATCCTTGGTCCAGTTATGTGTCTCAGTAATGTTGAGATACAATCTTTGGTCCAGTTATGTGTCTCAGTAATGTTGAGGTACAATCCTTGGTCCAGTTATGTGTCTCAGTAATGTTGAGGTACAGTACTTGGTCCAGTTATGTGTCTCAGTAATGTTGAGGTACAATCCTTGGTCCAGTTATGTGTCTCAGTAATGTTGAGATACAATCCTTGGTCCAGTTATGTGTCTCAGTAATGTTGAGGTACAATCCTTGGTCCAGTTATGTGTCTCAGTAATGTTGAGGTACAGTACTTGGTCCAGTTATGTGTCTCAGTAATGTTGAGGTACAATCCTTGGTCCAGTTATGTGTCTCAGTAATGTTGAGGTACAGTCCTTGGTCCAGTTATGTGCCTCTGTAATGTTGAGGTACAGTCCTTGGTCCAGTTATGTGCCTCTGTAATGTTGAGGTAAAGTACTTGGTCCAGTTATGTGCCTCAGTAATGTTGAGGTACAGTCCTTGGTCCAGTTATGTGTCTCAGTAATGTTGAGGTACAATCCTTGGTCCAGTTATGTGTCTCAGTAATGTTGAGGTACAGTACTTGGTCCAGTTATGTGCCTCAGTAATGTTGAGGTACAGTCCTTGGTCCAGTTATGTGTTTCAGTAATGTTGAGGTACAATCCTTGGTCCAGTTATGTGTCTCAGTAATATTGAGGTACAATCCTTGGTCCAGTTATGTGTCTCAGTAATGTTGAGGTACAGTACTTGGTCCAGTTATGTGCCTCAGTAATGTTGAGGTACAGTCCTTGGTCCAGTTATGTGTCTCAGTAATATTAAGGTACAATCCTTGGTCCAGTTATGTGTCTCAGTAATATTGAGGTACAATCCTTGGTCCAGTTATGTGTCTCAGTAGTGTTGAGGTACAGTCCTTGGTCCAGTTATGTGTCTCAGTAATGTTGAGGTACAGTACTTGGTCCAGTTATGTGTCTCAGTAATGTTGAGGTACAATCCTTGGTCCAGTTATATGCCTCTGTAATGTTGAGGTACAATCCTTGGTCCAGTTATGTGTCTCAGTAATGTTGAGGTACAGTACTTGGTCCAGTTATGTGCCTCTGTAATGTTGAGGTACAGTATTTGGTCCAGTTATGTGTCTCAGTAATGTTGAGGTACAGTACTTGGTCCAGTTATGTGTCTCAGTAATGTTGAGGTACAGTCCTTGGTCCAGTTATGTGTCTCAGTAATATTGAGGTACAGTACTTGGTCCAGTTATGTGTCTCAGTAATGTTGAGGTACAGTACTTGGTCCAGTTATGTGTCTCAGTAATATTGAGGTACAGTACTTGGTCCAGTTATGTGTCTCAGTAATATTGAGGTACAGTACTTGGTCCAGTTATGTGTCTCAGTAATGTTGAAGTACAATCCTTGTTCCAGTTATGTGTCTCAGTAATATTGAGGTACAATTCTTGGTCCAGTTATGTGTCTCAGTAATATTGAGGTACAGTCCTTGGTCCAGTTATGTGTCTCAGTAATGTTGAGGTACAATCCTTGGTACAGTTATGTGTCTCAGTAATGTTGAGGTACAATCCTTGGTCCAGTTATGTGTCTCAGTAATGTTGAGGTACAGTACTTGGTCCAGTTATGTGCCTCAGTAATGTTGAGGTACAATCCTTGGTCCAGTTATGTGTCTCAGTAATATTGAGGTACAATCCTTGGTCCAGTTATGTGTCTCAGTAATGTTGAGGTACAGTACTTGGTCCAGTTATGTGTCTCAGTAATGTTGAGGTACAATCCTTGGTCCAGTTATGTGTCTCAGTAATGTTGAGGTACAATCCTTGGTCCAGTTATGTGTCTCAGTAATGTTGAGGTACAGTACTTGGTCCAGTTATGTGTCTCAGTAATGTTGAGGTACAGTACTTGGTCCAGTTATGTGTCTCAGTAATGTTGAGGTACAGTACTTGGTCCAGTTATGTGTCTCAGTAATGTTGAGGTACAGTACTTGGTCCAGTTATGTGTCTCAGTAATGTTGAGGTACAATCCTTGGTCCAGTTATGTGTCTCAGTAATGTTGAGGTACAATCCTTGGTCCAGTTATGTGTCTCAGTAATGTTGAGGTACAATCCTTGGTCCAGTTATGTGTCTCAGTAATGTTGAGGTACAATCCTTGGTCCAGTTATGTGTCTCAGTAATGTTGAGGTACAGTCCTTGGTCCAGTTATGTGTCTCAGTAATGTTGAGGTACAGTACTTGGTTCAGTTATGTGTCTCAGTAATGTTGAGGTACAGTACTTGGTCCAGTTATGTGTCTCAGTAATGTTGAGGTACAATCCTTGGTCCAGTTATGTGTCTCAGTAATGTTGAGGTACAATCCTTGGTCCAGTTATGTGTCTCAGTAATGTTGAGGTACAGTACTTGGTCCAGTTATGTGTCTCAGTAATGTTGAGGTACAATCCTTGGTCCAGTTATGTGTCTCAGTAATGTTGAGGTACAGTACTTGGTCCAGTTATGTGTCTCAGTAATATTGAGGTACAATCCTTGGTCCAGTTATGT